GTCACCACAACATGAGGAATTGTATTAAAGGGTCGCGGCATTAGGAAGGTTGAGAACCACTGGTTTAGTGTATAAACTTCGAAAGGCAAATCATTGACTGGGAGCAAGTTGCGATGAATCACCCGTACTGGTTTGTTACCATTCTCTGGTTTAACTTTGTAGATATACACTTGCCCTATCTGTTCAACTACCCTGTACACTTCCTTTTCCCAGTGTGTTCGGAGTTTTCCTGGGCCTCCTTTTTCTGACAAATTCCTTACAAGAACACGGTCTCTAGCCTGTTGTGCCACTTCTTTTTCATATTGGTCATAGTATCTTTTACCTTTCTGAGAGGACTTTTGGCTATTTTCAGAAGCAATTCTGTAAGTGTCCCTCATTTTGATAGCACATTTTTCAACATATTGCTGGGGTGGTCTTTCCTTCTTCTCATCATCTATATCAAATAACAGATTCCCTGGTAAACAGGGGGTTCTGCCATACAACAGGAAGAAAGGGGCATAGCCCGTTGCTTTGTGCCTAGTGCAATTTTATGTATGGACTATTTGTGGTAAATACTCTTTCCACTGAACCTTCTTTTCCTCTTCCAAAGTACGAAGTATGAGCAATAATGTTCTATTCCATCTTTTAGTGGGGTTGCTTTGAGGATGATATGGATGATATCATTGTTCTAGAATGTGTTATTCCAGACAATTGAATCAATCTTTTAAAAGTTGTTTTTTAAATTCTCTGCCCTGATCATGGTGTAATTTTTGAGGATATCCAAATCTGGGAATTAAGTCATTAAAAATCTCTGCTGCAGTTTTCCCTGATTTGTTGCCTGTAGGGTAGGCCTGTGCCAAGAGAGTGAAATGATCATTGATAACCAATATGCATTTGTAACCACCTCTGCTCTTCTTTAGGTAAAAATCCACTGAGATAACTTCAAAAGGAGCACTAGATTTAATGCACCCCAAAGGTGCCCGCTCTGGCATTGTTGGGTGTTTCTGTTTAATACAACTACATCTTTTCATGACATAGTTATCTGCTTTTGCATGAATGGCCAGTAAAATCTTTGCATCAAAATGGCCCATGTCATTATGTAGGTATTTCAGCACTATCTGAATTAAATGTTCTGGAATAACCATTATATTGTGTTGTAACAAAATGCTGTCTCGTATGATCAGTTTCATGCATGAGTTGTTTTCCGTTTCTATCTAGGCACTTCTTGACGACTTTGGTGGGTTCAGTATTTTTATTCTTAAGGTCAATAAATGCATATATGGCCTTGTCCTGCAGCTGGGCAGCATGAAGTTTATTCTTTGTGATGATTTCCTGAATTTCAAACTATTTGCATCTTTAACTTCTGGTTGTAGAGCTAGTGACAGTGCCCAGAGACCTTCCTCATCTACCATTGCCTTGCTACCTTTCCATACAGCAGAAGTTATCTGTGGCATGATCAGATTTGTAAATTCTTCTTCATCCTGAAGAAGGCATGGTGGATTTCTAGACAAGGTATCAGCATCTGAATTATTTTTTACTCTATTTGATGTCAAAGCAGAAATCAGCTAATTCCCCTACCCCTACCCAGCGATGTCCAACATTGTTTAGTCTTGCTGAACTGAGAACACATATTAATGGGTTGTTGTCTGTATAGACCATAAACAAGGTAGTTCCTAAATTTACCATAAATGGACCAAAATTTTTCTGAATGTATATGATAGTTTTCTCACTTGGTGTCAGTGTTCGTGAACCATACAAATGTATAGGTGGCACAAAAGTTGGGTGATCAGTGAATCCATGAGGCAAAGCAAGTTTGTCCCAGCAATGGTAATCATAAGTGCTTTGGGAAAGGAGCTGGGATGCTCCAAAATGTGTTAGATACTCCCCCTTCCTCCCCTAGGTGCTGATGTCACTCCTGGTCTTCTGTAGTTGGTGTCCCACAGCCCCGGGTGGCTTCCTGGCTCCTAGGAATACAATTGGTCTTTCATCCGAGAAGTGGATCTCTTAGCTTCCTAACACATTTATGAGATAGCCCCGTTTTCTTAGCAGGTGAGACAAGCGCTTTCCTACCACCTAAATGTGATAATGCTAATTGTTTTTAGTGTTATGCTGCACCCAGAGTGGCGCTCTTTGTTGTTTATATTTATGAACAGGAGATTGCCAGTCACTTCAAGAAGAAGATCAACACAATTCGTGATGAGATCTCCAGTGTCAAGCTTCCTTCTCTAACCAACATACCAGGCCCAACACCAAACTCAGCACTCTCCTCCTTCGACCCTGTTACCACCAAGGAAGTTACTGAACTCTTTTCCAAGGCCCACTTCACCACCTGTCCCCTGGATCCTGTCCCCTCACGACTGTTGCAGCCTCCTTCCTGCTCTATCCTAAACTCTCTAACCCACATCTTCAACCTCTAACTCTCCATGGGCACCTTTCCCTCCCCACTCAAACATGCACTGGTTACCCCCATTCTCAAAAAACTCTCGCTGGACCCCACCTGTTTGAATAACTTAAGACCCATCTCCCTGCTCCCGTTTGCCTCCAAGCTTCTCGAGCACCTTGTTCACAACCGTATGAACTGCTACCTCACTGACAACAACCTTCTTGATCCCCAACAGTCTGGCTTCCGCCCACAACATTCTACAGAAACTGCCCTAAAACTCACTAATGACCTTCTAACTGCTAAAACCAATGGCCTTTACTCCATACTCATACTCCTTGACCGTTCCGCTGCCTTTGACACAGTCGACCACCCACTCCTCCTCAGTATACTCCACTCCATCAGCCTCCGTGACTCTGCTCTCTCCTGGTTCTCCTCTTACCTTTCTCAGCGCACTTTCAGTGTCACATACAACTCCTCCTCCTCCACTCCTCTTCCTATTTCTGTTGGGGTACCCCAAGGTTCTGTTATTGGGCCCCTCCTTTTCTCTCTCTATACCACCTCCCTGGGTCAACTGATAACCTCACATGGCTTCCAATACAACCTCTATGCTGATGACACCCAGATCTATCTCTCCACTTCCCAGCTCACCCCCTCAATCTCCTCACGTATCACAAATCTACTGAGCGACATATCAGCATGGATGTCACATCACTACCTTAAACTCAATCTTTCAAAAACTGAGCTTGTAATATTTCCTCCTCCCCGATCCCCCACTCACAACTGTACCATTAAGATCAACAGCACAACCATTGGTCCTTCCCCTCATGCCAGGGTGCTAGGCGTAATCCTAGACTCTGACCTCTCCTTTGGGCCCCGCATCAAGTCACTGTCGAAATCCTGCCGCCTCAACCTCCGGCACATTTCCAAAATCCGCCCCTTTCTGACCGATGACACCACAAAACAACTCATCCACGCCTTGGTTATATCCCGCCTTGATTACTGCAACTCCCTCCTCACTGGTCTACCTTTACACAGGCTATACCCCCTTCAGTCTATTATGAATGCTGCTACTAGACTCATACACCTTACCAACCGATCAGCGACTGCTGCCCCTCTCTGCCAATCCTGTCACTGGCTTCCACTAACTCAACGTATAAAATTCAAAATACTAACCACAGCTTACAAAGCCATCCACAACACTGCTCCTAGCTACATCGCCAACCTCATCCACAGATACCGTCCAAATCGCCCCTCCACTCCACTCCTCCCATGGTATCTTCCTCTCTAGCTCCCTCATCACCTCCTCCCACGCTCGCCTCCAGGACTTCTCCAGAGCATCTACCATCCTCTGTAACTCCCTACCACAGCATGTCCGGTCAGCCCCCACCCTGTCTGCCTTTAGGCGATCTTTGAAAACTCACTTCTTCAGAGAAGCCTACCCCACCTCCACCTAAGAACTGTACTTGAATCACCTCCACCAGATCATCCCCTGCAGCTATCGCCTTTTGTATCACCTCCCCCTTCCTTTAGATTGTAAGTTCCATGAGCAGGGCCCTTACATTCCTTCTGTACTGAAATGTATTGTAATTGTACTGTCTCCCTTATATTGTAAAGCGCTGCGCAAACTGTTGACGCTATATAAATCCTGTATAATAATAATATAATAATGAACCATAGTCTATAACCCGTAATTTGCCCTCTTGACATTGATAAAGCACTATGTCTAGCCATCTTGTCAGGTAAAGTCAGGATAGGCAAGGATTGGGGGTTTGGTCAACATCGGTATTAGCTTGTCAACAACCTTCTGGTATTCTCGCATCCACCAAATTGGTGTTCCAGAGGGCAACTGTTGAGCTGTTCCCTTTTTTACAGGTGTCTTCCCATTTACTGTAGCTCACTTTTTTGTCTCCTTATATTCTAGTAAGTCATAAAAAGGTATTGCAATACGTGAAACGTTTTGTGTGAAACAGCGGTAATAGCTTAGAAATCCAAGTATTTTTCTCTTTTCACCCACTGTCTTTGGTGATCATTTTCTAAGTGCATCCACTGGTTCTGTATCCTTTGAATCCATCTGAATACCATTGCCTGAAACAAAACAACCTACTAAAAAATTTTGCTTCTCTTTTAAAAAGTTCACACTTGTTTACTCTCAGCTTGATTCCTTGTGCACTCAGATTATGAAATCTTCAAGATAAGGTGAACAACATTCATCTCTTAGTTCATCCAGTGTCTCTTGCATGCATCTTTGAAAAACGGGCCACAAGCTGAGGGGACGGGCTCAGCAGGGATTCGGGGGGGGACGAGCTTGGCAGGGCTTGGGTGGAGGCCATGGGCTCGACAGTGCTCGGGTGGGGAAGGCAGCCTCGGCAGTGCTCAGGTGGGAAGGCAGCCTCGGTAGTGTTTGGTTGGGGGGAGGTGGCTTCACCAGTGTTTGGGCGGGTTTGGCAAGGCCCGGCAGTGTTCGGGCGGGCTTGGCAGTGTTTGGGCGGGCTCAGCAAGGCTTGGAAGTGTTTGGGTCAGCTTGGCAGTATTAAGGCGGGCTCGGGCAGGCTCGGCTGACCATCTCCTGTAACCTGTGCACAGTCTCTTGTATCCTGTCCACAGGCTCCAGTATTCTGTCTGCAGTTTCTGACCTTCTCCTGCATGCTGTCCACAGTCTCTGGCTGTCTCCTGTACTATGTCTGCAGTCTCTGACTTTCTCCTATATCCTTTCTGCAGTCTCTGACCGTCTCCTGTACTATATCTGCAGTTTCTGACATTCTCCTGTATCCTGTCCGCAGTTTCTGACCATCTCCTGTATCCTGTCTGCAGTCTCTGACCTTCTCCTGTATCCTTTCCATAGTCTCTGACCATCTCCTGTATCCTGTCCGCAGTCTCTGACCATCTCCTGTAGTAGGTCTGCAGTCTCTGACCATCTCCTGTAGTAGGTCTGCAGTCTCTGACCATCTTCTGTAGTAGGTCTGCAGTCTCTGATCATCTCCTGTAGTAAGTCTTCAGTCTCTGACCATCTCCTGTAGGAGGTCTGCAGTCTTTGGCCATCTCCTGTAGTATGTCTGCAGTCTCTGACCATCTCCTGTACTGTGTCTGCATTCTCTGACCGTCTTCTGTATCATGTCTGCAATCTCTGACCATCTCCTGTAGTATGTCTGCAGTCTCTTTTTTTCAATCCAAACAACTTTTATTGTCAAGGAAATTGAAAAGTGGAACAGTGCTTATAGAATCTTCAAAAACATGAAAGTACAAACAGAATTATACGTAGGGTTACAACTTGGATGCACAGATCCTGTGACATACAAAAGATCAGAAGCATTGACTAAACAGAAAAGAAAATATAAGGATCCATGACCACCTTGACAATACATAGCTTTAAAAGAAAACAAATCCAAAAACTAATAAATAGTAATACGTTCACCTGAGACATCATAAAGAGGACTATGGGTATACGTGAGCACCCCTGGGAAGAGAGATGGGATTATCTGCCATATAATAAAATGTCACACCTGCAAGAGCCGATCTACTAACAACTGAGAAGGGTCAAGCCCAGGTACATCTAGCCAGAGCTGTTACAACCCTTCCACATCTAGCCAGCCCTGCCACACCAGCTGAAATTTGTGATGAGCATTACAATGTTGATATGTGAGCTTTTCCCATAGAAGTAGCCAGTTGACATAGTCTATCCATTGCTTTTTAGTTGGTGGGGCCGATGATAGCCATTGCCTTGCAATTAACTTTCTATCCAGATATAGAAGCCTAGATACCATAATGTACACTCCGGGTTGTACTAGGGAAATGAGCTAAAGGACCTCACTCCAATATCTATACAGCTTTGGTCATTGCCAAGGCATGTAGATAAAGTTGCCCTGCTGGACCCTACATCTGGGGAAATCAGGGGAGTCTCGCCTACCCCATCGGTATAATTGCACAGGGGTCCTATAAACCCGATGGAGAATAAACAATTGTGACAATATATAGAAAGCAGAAAGAGAAACCACCGGTACATACTCCACGGCAGCATCCCAGGCATCTCTGGCAATCACCCGAATGTCCTGGGTCCACTGCGCCCTACCACGGAGACTAGCGTGATGCTTTACAGTGGCCAACAACTGGGAATAGATTCCAGAAATCATGCCCTTCTTATGTGTTGCCTGAGTAACGTCTTTAAGGAAGGTGGAGTCTGTCAATGTAAGATTGGAGAGTAGAGACTGTGCCTGTACCGTGTGACGTATCTGAAGGTACTGGTAAAATTGCTTATGGATAAGTGCAAATTCAGTTTGCAATTGTGAAAAGGACTTTAGGACCTCCCCAGAATACAATCGAGCTATAAATTTCAAGCCCCACTCCCTCCGCCTGTGAAAACCCTCCAGCTTAACTAATTCTACAAAATTCTTGTTACGCCATAAGGGGGTGCTAGGAAGACACCCAGTGACATGAAAAGATGCTCTCACCGCACCCCACACTTGCCTTAAAAGATCCGCGGTAGGAGCCAGAGACGGAAGGACCAGTAAAGCCATTTTTCAAGATGAGAGAGAGCCGAAAGGGTGGGATCAGGAAGGGAAATTAAGCCCATAATAGGATCTGCAGTATCAAGTAAATCCCAGACAGCTAGATGCTGCAGTTGAGCCACCAGGAAATATAGTCTAGGCTCTGGAACTGCCAGCCCCCCAGAATCCTTACCATATTGGAACGTGGACAATTTTATCCAAGCCATCTGTTGTTTCCAAATGAGGCACCTAAACTGGGTTTCTATACTATACTATTTTTTAGGAAGCTATACAGGAGAATTATGGAATATATAGAGAAGTTGCAAAGACAGAGAAAGGGAGTTAACACCATCTGTTACACTTCAATTTATGCTGTTGGAGCAGAGGTAAACGTTTGAGAGATAGATACTGCTTTGGATCAGGAGAGACCACCACTCCCAGATACGTAAATGTAGACACTACTTGTTTTTGCTGCACACAGACCTGAAGGGAGAGGTCTATAGGGTCCATGGGCATCAATACCGATTTATGCCAGTTAATTTTAAATCCTGAAAAGCCATTAAATCGACCTATAAGAGACATAACAGAATCTAAGGATGTAGAGGTATCATGTCTACAGTCTCTGACCATCTCCTGTACTAGGTCTGCAGTCTCTTACTAACTCCTGAGGTGGAGCTGTAATAGGAAGAGGTGGAGCCTAAAGAGGAAGAGGCAGAGTTTACAGATGAAGGGGTGAATCTTAAACAGGAAGGGGTGGGACAAATTTAGATGGGGGGCACCTGATTTTAGTTTTGCCTAGGGCAGCAAAAACCCAAAATATACCACTGGTCCCCAGGGCAGGGTATAATAAATGCTGTCATATGCCTTGACTCTTTATAAATAAACCCTTGGTGGTAAGCACTTCCTTGTCTAGGATAGAAAACCATGACTAGCCACTTAAGTTGTGTAGCAGGTCTTGAACTCGTGGCAGGGGTTGTCTCTCAAGCATAGTCTTCTTATTTAATTCTCTGAAGTCTACACATAGTCTCAAGCTCCCGTCTTTTTTTCTTACTCAAACTTCAGGAGAGGAGTAAAGAGATTTGGACTTTCATATTCTTGCCCTTTCCAATGTCTTCTGTATGTAGGCCTTTACTTCCTGGTAAAGAGGTTCTGTTATGCAGGTATAAGACATTTTCACTGGTGTCTTATCCATCAAGTGAAGATTTAAATAAGGAATACATCCAATGTCCCCCTCCACTTTTGCAAAAGTTTCTGATTCTTCACATTACATTGTCATAGCAAGTGTCTGTTATTCTTCTGTGAGATTCTGTAAATACACTGGTGGAATCCACTTTTGGCTTTGTGTGACTTGGCAATTTGTTTGCATTGACAGAGTTACACCCGTTTTTTTTCCTTTTGTTCTGCCTGGTTTGGAGTTTTCATTTCTTACAATGAGATTTCTTCTAAAACAGGGTACATCACACCCAGTATACTCCTTGGTAAAATGTACACTATCTGTTTGGTGGTGTTCTGGACAGGAATCTTTATTCACTTTATATGCTCAATTTGCAAATGTAATGCATTTGCTTTACATTGGGATTGATTTACTAAAGGTAAATAGTCTGTGCACTGCAAGTACACTAAAAGTGCAGTTACGCTAGATCTGAGGGGAACATGCAAGAAAAATTAAAAAAAAAACAGCATTTTTGCTTGCACATGATTGAATGAAATAAATCAGCAGAGTTCACCTAATATCAGAGCTTTCCCTCTGATCTAAAGCAACAGCACATGCGGTGCACTTGCAGTGAACAGTATATTTACCTTTAGTAAATCAACCTGACCATCAACATTGCTTCACTCTATAGCATTGTCATGTCATTATACCAGGGTTTTATGCAGGCCATAGATGGGTGGTTTATCGGCTGATTTTTCATCCGCACGAAAAATCGGCCGATAATCACGCCGTTAGTGGGGCCAGCCTGTCGGCCGTTTTTCACGGATCTCATTGATTTTTATCGGTCATGCTGGAAAATCCGTGAAAAAACGGTAGTTTTTCACGGACATGGGTGGCAGCAGCGGCAATGGGGCTGACCGATTTTTTGTTTATCGGCCGAAAAAATTTGGCTGATAAACGGCCCGTCTATGGCCTGCATTAACTGTCAAAATGTTCTTTTATCAGTTCTTTAATTGCATTGAACTCTAGAATTGGAGTGGCAGAGCAAGTCTGGCTAACTAGTATTAGCACAAGGATTGTTACCCTATATCCACTTTGATTTTCAAGTTCTAGTTCCAATTCCAGCCATTCATCAAAAGGAACAACAGAACCATTTGCTGCTGTGATGGTTAGCTTGCTTTCTTTTCCTGACAGTTTGTGAGTTGACTGATTTGCAGTTTGTTTCTGGTGTATTTAACCCAGCTTGCAGCCACAATACTTGGGAACCCATGTCAATGAGTACTTTCGAGGGTACCCCTTCTAAATTACGAGTAAGCATTTGCTCCCTATTAGTTTGGCTACTTTTTTTTTACTCACAGTGGCAAGGTGAATGAAGAATTAGGTTCTGCAGTGACTTGGGACTTTTTATCATAGCTGGTCACTAATTGACTTGCACCTGTGACCACTTCTTGTTTCTCTTTTACGCACCCTAGCGCCATATGACCTTCCTGTCCACAGACAAAGCAATGCCTACATTTTTCTTTCTTGGTTCACACATTGTTTGCATCTCTGCATATTCCTGTTTTTATTATTATCAGACAACCTTCCTGAAACATCTTCAGACTTTCTTACTGCACTTGCCTGTGTTAAAGATTGTACATTTTTTGCAAGGGCAGCAACCTGCGCAGTTAATTCTACAAGTGAAGCATGAGTGGTATTGCCATAGTCTATGACCTCTTCTGTTTCCTGTACCTATGTGTTATGGCTAATTTGGACCTAACAGGGCCACTCAGTCTGACTTGCCTTTCTGCTTCTACTCGGGGTGCTTTGGTAACTTACTGGTAACTAGAATACTTTTGGTAACTAGAATAGAATAATCAGTTACTGATAAGTCTGAAATGTATGTATCCATCTTCTGGTTCACTCACTAGTTGTTCTGAAATAGCCTATTCCTTTTCAAATCAAGCCATTAATTCTCTTTGGTTTCCAGTTTGTAAGACCAGTGGCTGCTATGCCTCCTTTTCCCCCAGCCTCTGGTCTTCGCACATCCCTTCCGTAGTACTTTCTCCAGGAAGCAGTGATGTAATTCAGCCCCACTTGCAGTGGTGGGTGGACTGAGACTCTCAGACACATTCAACATGTACAGGCCAGTGTATCTGTTCACATTCACTACAATTCCCTATGGTTGATGAGAACTGTAGTTTCCTTTTACTGCAGAGAGAGAGAGGAGAGGATATGATGTAATCCTTGCTGTTACACCTCCTCCTTTGCAGAGCAGTGCTGTTATTTTTTGAATTACACAGATGAGGTCATAAAAATTGAATTAGACTTTTCTCCTAAAAGGTAAGGAGTTTCAAAATTGTATTAATTGTTTAGTGTTTTTGTAAGGGGGGTG